GGGAGTAGAGGTATGGCGTTTTGGAATATACCGAAAATTCTGACACAACCTGCAAAGCTATGCACCAATACAAACCACTTGAAATAGTAGAAGCAAGAGCAGCCCTCAAATTAAGAACGAGGACGATCATGATGAACCACGTGTGAATGTGATCCGTCGACCAGCACAAGGACGGTCGATCCACTATCTGCTGAGGCGGAGGCCAGCATGACTCTCACTGCATATTCTCGCAATAAAATCAGTGAGTCGAGAACTATGACCACTTTGCTCAAACCTCACTGAGCAGAGACATTCAAGCCATTCATAGATTAGACTGGTCCAGCATATGACCCGTGCGCTAACATTTAAGATAGGTTTGTAAACAACAGACTGGGGTATCTGTAGAGCACTGTTTCACCTTATAAACGAAGCTTTCGTACCAAAAGCGAAACAATGCTCAACGAATACGTCAACCTAAAACCGCGATTCCTTCATCGGTACCAAATATGATCCAAGATTGTGAGTACATCAAAAATTGAACTCGCATAGACACAATGTGCCCGTGTGCCTCATAAGCCCCGACTTGACAACCACTGCCTTGAAGCCTTTGGCAGCTAAGTCAACACCATTAATAACTACCAGCGTTGATCAACGATAAGATCGCAAAGCGTATTGCAAAATCGTATACATCGGGCAGTGACGAACAAAAACCTTGGTCTCTAGATTCTATGAAGGGTGAAGGTCGATTGACTTTGTCTTCCCCTAGAGCTCCCCGTTTGTGAATTGAGTGGTGCAGTTGTTAACTGCAGGAAATCCGCGTGGCATAGATGTCAACCACAAACTAAGGTTGTAGACAAAGGTTGTCTTTATGCCCATAGTAGCCAAAGTATATAACTGGAGGATGAGACACAAGCCCTACTAATATCCAGTAATCAGTAATCGTCCCAGCAGCTAACGTTCCATCTCGTATGGTGGCGGCTTGAAAAAGTAGTCGTAGCTCTGATGACTAGCCTATCCTCTGCACGTTCATAACAGTTGAGGATAAGCTTCACTATATCGCAGTTATATATCAACCACCGTGAACCGCCGCCATCTCTAGCTCGGTGGCTTAAGTCGTTCACTCGTAAGAGTAAGGTCATGGGTTCGGAACCGGCGGATGTGCGCTAGTGCGGATAAACAGTAGGACGAAACGTTCATATATATATATATATATATATATATATATATATATATATATATATATGTGGCTGGTGCCATCCGGTTTCGGATTTGCCTGTCATTATGGCCAGCCACAAGACGCCTGCGCCTACAGAGGGACCATGGGTGGCTTGCGCTGAACCACCCACAGCTCCAACCACATACCCCATATCCAGTGTAAACCCGAAGGAATAAGACCGGAAGGCATGTGGATGGGAGCCACAACTCATCAACGGAGCCGGCCCACACTCCTTCACAGGCAAACACAAGCACGCTCTAGTTGGGAATCAATCGCACACAAGACGGTGGCTGGACCGTAGTCCGCTCCATACTGAGTGCATGGAACCACTCTTCGAGCCTAGCACGGCCACAAGGACTGTGCACTCTGTCCCCTCCAGCAACGACCAACTGTCTCCTGGAGCCAGTATGAACGAGGTAGTGGGTAATAGAGGTAGGCATCTTGTCAACATGCACATCAAGCGCAGCCACCCTGGGGATATCAAGCAACAGCCATTCATTTTAAACGACAAGATGAAATAAAATAAATCCAATAATGCATACAGATACGGTGGCATGACTCTTCTCTAAATTACCATATGAAATAAGTTGGTTAGTAACGAATCCGCGATAAGTAAGAAATGTCCACAGGTTACTTAAAAATGCTACGAAGGCAACAAAGTTATCGAAGATAAGCGCAATTAGCGTAAGCAACGTGGCCAGTTAATAGAGCATTATTCAGGTAGGCAGAACAAACCAAATAAAGTGGAATGAAATTTATCCAGCTTAAAAATACCTAGTTTATATATATGTATATTTATTTATATATATATATGTATAAACACTTACACCAATAAACAACTGGCAGACTGCCAAAACCCATGGGTAACAACAAGTAGGGGAAAAAGTGGTAATCAAGGGGAGGGGTTACGTGGGTTTGTGTTGTGTGGCCATACAGCTTCCAAGTGGTCCGGATCGAGGAAGTGAGGGACCCTATCCCGAGCCTTTGGCCTTAAAGACCTGACCTGCAAGGCAGCAGCGTCATTCCTGTACGTCAGTGGAACGTTTAACTTGCTGCTGAAAATGAGAGCAGTTGACATCAAGGTGGTCCACTCGCCACGGGAAACCATCGTCAAGCGCGTTCTTGAATATGTGGTGGCTGTCTATCTGAGAGTAGCTGCGAGGAGTCTCCATAAAAACACATGAAATGCCCCAAGTACTCACTAACAGACAAATTCAATTCGAATCGAGGGATCGCCAAGTTGATTCCTAGCATTGGAAACAACAAAACGACAAGGAATTTGTATGAAGCGCCGGAAAAGGAAAAAATCCATGGGATTCGGTTTTTAAAATTATACCCATGGCAACGATTGCGCTAGCATTGACTTGTTATCGTTTAATATATTTCGTCCTATGAATCCAGCCTTATTGCTTGGCGGCATTAGGATCTTGGCAAATCGCCACAGATTTGCGATTTCCTCAAACAACTGTAAGGTAAATACTTATGTACTTCATTTATGTTGACTCAATATCTGTGACTGAAAAAATAGGCCCGGTAAAAGATCTGGACAAAGTGATTTTGGAAGTTCATCTTCTAACCGGAACCTCCTCAACCAAGTTAAAAAGTTGTTTGTAGAAGGACACGATTTGGCTCAAATCGCATTGCCTCTCGCTGAATGCACCAAAATGATAGTGGTGTTCTTTTCTAACTACACACAGGAGATCGTCATCGATGTCTCCCTTCTGATTATTTTTTGATGACGAGGATCTGCACTCCGCCATGTCAGTTAAGTACGCAGGAATCGCGTTAAGCCTTGAAGATTTACACAGTTCTCTCCTTGGGAGCAAAGTATTCCCAAAAGTCCAACGCTGCAGTTCCACGTAGACCGCCACATTCGGCCCCACTGGACAAACTGCCCTCTAACTTTTTATTCTGACTCCGCTGAGTAGGCAGTTTTGAACGTTCGCCAGTTCACAGAAGTTTTTCATTTTAACGCGGCGGTATACCAAACATGACATCCTTGCGTCTATCCAGTTAAGTGCAGAAAACAAAAACGTAGCAAAAATATGCACTGGCGCCAACCACTCCTCATTAGGTATTCCACTAGTCTGTGCGTATTGCCTCGACCGGTCAAAAACGTCCGTTCCCGTATTTAGGTTTGCGTCTCGTTGCTCATCCACCGTCCGGCGCGTTTTTGGTAGAAACCAATTCCCCCCCCCCTGAAAAGTAACGCAAAAGCTAGACCAATGAGCGCGTATATGCGCACTTCCAAGGCTGTACTTTTTTACTGTTTTTGTCGATAATAACAACCCTTTGTTATCACTGTCAAATTGGTAAGTGGATGTGCTAAGGCTGAGATGTGACACTTTTAGTGAACAAAGGCTACTTTTAACCTAGATGCAGAATGAAAGTGGCGGAGATTTAAAGCGTGGAAACGACAAAAGGAAGCCGACCAACAGTTTGTCACTAGCTCGAAATTGACCGAAATTTACGGCCTTACTGAATCGGGTAGATTAGCGAACTCAGGCGAAGCATCATCTAAAGCGATGCTGAAACGATGAAGGATGGAAAAGGCCCGTTGGTGAAAAACATGAGGCAACCACAACAATGAAAACATGTTGCAGCTGGAGTGAGGATAAACCCAGCAACGCGAAGCTGAGCACCTAGTGGAGGAAGTAAACAACATCACGATTCCAATGGCAACCGGCATAAAAGCGGTATCAGGTCACAAATCGATGGAGCTTTCGTTCTATCGATCCATGATGTGCGTACAAACAGGCGAGAATGACTCATTCGCACGTGATCAGACAAGCTTGGAGATCGTGTCCTGCAAGTAGTCACCCAGGAGCACGGACTTGGGGTATTAGTTCAAGCTGATCTGAGCTTCTCAGAACAACCTGAGAAGGCGTCTAAGACCGGGAACCAACATGTTGGCATGTTGCTTAGGGCATTTGGGCGGTCTGATCCCTCTACCTGTTCGCAGTTGCTTAACACCTACTTGCGGTCTCATGTGGCATACGCGATCCAAGTGTGGCAGTCCTGGCACAAACAAGACCTTGCAGCGCTCGAGACTCCCCAGCCACGAGCCACGAAGCACGTCAAAGGGTTGTTCCATCTTACTTATCAGCTTAGGCTGAGAACCCTAAAATTATACAGTGGCTGGCACCGGCGCATACGTGGCCACCTTATAAGGGCCTACCAGATTCTAAGGAACCCCAAGCACGTCTGCCGCCACCTACTGCCTACACGAATTTGTGGGGACACCAGTACAAGTTAGCCACGCAATACAGTCGACTAGAATGTTGACGGGACTTTTACTCACTTCGTGTGAGTCTTGAAACACCCTTCCAAACTATGTTGTTTCCACCCCCACTTTAACTGCGTTTAAAAATCACCTTGATGTTGCCCAAACCTATCTATACTAGGAGATATAGGCTGTGTGTCTCGACAGACGATATAGTGCGACGAATGTTACACAAGCAACTGTGGTTGGCTCTTTCTGCGCGCCTCTGTGTTAATATTGTGATGAGTTCACCAAAACGATTTTCATTTTATCTCCTTGTTTTCTATTCACCATGTTGTGGTTCTCTTTTTGGACATCCTACGGGACTTGCTAAGCATCCACCATTTTGCGCGTACTATTGGTCCATTGAACGGGAGCGCGACATACAAAGCAATCGATCACGTGAGCGATATGACTGCGTGAGTGCCATTGTGTCATTTGGAGAAGGAAAAAGAACCCAGAAATGAAAGGATGGGAAACGCTGCGCCAATCCGACGCATTTCAATAGTACAATTTGAATGGCATAAAATATCGCAAACTCACTTGTGCAATTTATGCAATTCAGTTATCCGTTGCAGCATCTGTGAGGTTTGTAGGGATTGAGGGGCGAATGGTATGTTAGAAATGTATTCAATTCCCACGTGGTTGTCCGGATCATAGTCTCCAGCTTCTGACTGCACCGCATAAGCACCCAAAATGACGTAGACCTGGAAGGAGCACGGTAATCTGAAATTGGAAGATGATGAAAGGAACAATTCCACTTACACAACATGATGCGTGACGTTGAGGAACATATCCTTAATTGGTTAATTCATAGTCATCGATGCAAAGAAGGTTGGTAAGACAGGTTCATGAAATTTTCAGTACAGTAGGGAGTGGTGAGGATTGCCCCTTAAGATTCATTTAAACAGTACAGCTACAAGTGTTCTCTGTGTACTACAGCTGTTCAAACCGAGCAAAATAGCGAAAACAAACACTTAGGGGATTGAAATCGGGGACGACGTGGACGAAAAAATGATAAGCGTGTTTGTATGACCGAACAAAATATTACGCGCCGAGTATGCCATGCATTTGCATGTGATGAAATGTGTTAGCGAATAAGTTAGTAGTATGGCCGGTTGGCAAGAAGAGTTTTCTGGAAGCATGTACTGCTAAATAACTACTTATTACGAAGGACAATGAATTAACTGCATGAAGCTCCCTACTCATGTGCAAAAAGGGTGCACCCTAACAGCTTCTAAACGCTACATCGTATATAGATGCTGTTATGGAAAGCTGTGGCTCTAGGGGTCAACGCTGTTACATGCAATCTTCCTAAGTTACATGGTAATGGAAGGTGAGCCACACTGTGGCGCAACTAGCTTGAAACTCATGACGTTCTGCCGCCATCACTCACAGACTAGTGCAAACAACTCAAAATACCTTTATCTACCCATATGGACGCATTTTCAGTCTTCCTCACAATATCATTGTGGTATATAATACAACAAAGCACCAGTGAGAAAATTCAAACTGATAGCATTAAAACGAAAAAGGTGAATCTCCCCTACGGTCATGAAAGTGGTGTTTCATACCTAATAAGTCGACCGGTAAACACGATAAATAAGGCAACATGGAGTTTCGCTACGACGAGGAATGAGAATATAAAGTTTAAATGTCAACCGTATGGAAGAAGTAGATACCGTACTGGCTGAGACAGTATGTAAACGGTGAAACCGTCGTTTATAATCCTGGATGAAAAGTTGTTGCATGCATCGAAATGTTTGTTAACGATAAAATCAAAGACTGGTAGTTTTCTTAAGTTGGAGCAACGAGGAATACACTTTAGCAAACGGATAAGATGAAATGGCCACCTATTGCTTGTACGGAGGTGTGGCCATTTGAATTGAAATACATTACAAAATGTCCTCAATTAACACCATTTCTGGCATGGAATCAACCAATATCAGTGGAATGCAATCGAGTCGCACCAATCCGACGGAGTTAGTCCAAAAAGACACCAACTTACTGTCCAGATATGATGTCCTGCCGAATTTGTAGACAGAGACAGTACCGTGTCAGATCATCCTTTAGTTCGTCAATGTCCAATGGATAGTGCCGGATGTGGAACTCCAGCTTCCATGGTTTTTCTGCAGTGTTGAGAAAAAGATGATATCACTTGCATTGGGCATAAGTAATGATCGTGGAAATTTCACACAGAAAAAATGAGTTAGCTGCCAATATGTCATTGATAGGTGACGGAGTTACAAATGACAAATGAGCGCATGCAGTTTGACATGCAGTCTAATTCACTCAGGGGAAATACTTATAATGCGCAAGATGTAGACACGATTGGCAACATCCGGATCTACACACACAACAGCACTGCTTCTCCTCGGGAATCTACAGTACACATTAAGGTGCCGTTAGGGTGTACGCGAAATTGACACGCTCGTTACCTATCCAGTCATGTACAAGTAAAATAGAACGCACTCGTTTCAAAACTGTTTGTTAATCTAATAGTGAGTCGCGCTTTTCAGCTGAGTAATAGGGGTGTATTCAAACACTGTAGTTTAAAGTCGAAGTGCTTGTAAATAGCTTCGAGAAGCGGGTTTGATTATTCGAAACCTAAAGGAATTGGATAGTCGCTCTTTTCTCAGACCGACAGAAGCAAATGAATCCAATGGAGGCCGGGATGCAGATGTCAGGATGAAGCATATTTGACATCGTTTCCATATTTGATGAAGGCGCGTCTTTTTCCATCATATTACAAGAAGATAGAGAGGTACTCCACCCCGAAAACCGAGGATGTCAAACAATATTTAAGGGGTGATCCCAGAGTTAAATATGTATGGGACTGGAAGCGAACGGCAGCATCAGGTAGGTTGAGATGCAAAGCTACAGCTTGTAAAACGTGCGGCCCTCCGGCAGAAAGAACAACAGGTGGCGGCGACACGAAATCTTTATTGGCGAGAATTGCTTTCTTTTTATATCAGATATGACCATTTTCTGCGCCCGTTTCTATTCGGCTACTACACTTTCATGCATTTGTCTCCATTTGCCAGTGTCCTTTGATCCTGGGCGTTTCGCCTCCAATCGTTCGGTCGTAATTCGTCCATGGCATTTGCTACAATTGGTTCCCCATGCTGTGTCTTGACGATCAAAACCAATCGGCCGATGGGTTTCGGTTCAGTGCCTGCTCTTTCTGGCCTATGGACGGTCGTTCGCGTACCGGATTGACGTGACGCTGATTGGTCAGGCGTCTGATGCAAGTCCTCGATCCCCTTAACGTCGCTTACTCGTTTGCGAGCCGTCTCGGGTTTTGATTGGATATTCGGACCACGCTTGTTTGCCAGACGCTTTGCCGAGCCGTTGGTCTGTTCGTCCGATCGGTAGCTTGTGTGCGCCACTGGTTGGCGGTGCCGCGAACTGATTGCGATCTCCGATTGTGTTGCCGATTGGTGGAAACCAGTTCGCGCTGTTGGCTGGCGGTTTGGCACGTAAGCTACCATCACATCCTTCCTTTTTTCGTTTTTTTGTAGTCCGTAAGCGCTGTATCGCCTTCCACTGCGTGTAGTCTTGTGGTCGTGTGCTGCCGTATCCACCGAAATGTCCGGCTGCGTTGGCTGCTTCGCACGATGCCGTGCTTGTTCACCACGTTGTCTCCTTAACTGCACCCGGTTGCGTCGAAATAGACTATCCCCAACTCTTACGTCGTAGCTTCGTTCGCCTTTGAGACCTTCTACTCGCCCTCTCCTCCAAGACCCGTTAGCTCCCGGTGTCGGCGCGACCCAGACCTCGTCTCCGGGCAACAGGCGTGGAAGCTGCTTCGTTCCGCGATCGTAATATTTCTTTTGTCGAAGCATGCGCTCACGCAAGCGCTCATACATCAAGCTCTGCGATGGTATTTCAGGCTGCAGCAGAGTATTGGCGATCGGCAACAGGGTTCTTGTCCTACGGCCAAACAGACGTTGCGCTGGACTGCATCCAATTTCGGCAGATGGCATGTTCCTTCGTTCTAACAACATGATGTAAGGATCTTCTTTGGTCTCCTTGGCTTTGGTGAGTAACTTCTTTGCTTCCTTCACGGCTGACTCAGCTTTTCCATTTGACTGACTGTGGTAAGGGCTGGTTAAACGATGAAGGAAATCCCCACTTTTCGCTGAAACTCCGAAATTCGGCGCTGTTGAATTGGGGGCCATTGTCGGACACTACCTCTTCCGGTATCCCATGTCGCGCAAACTGCGATCGTAGCTTGTTTATCACGGCCTGTGTGCTAGTAGACGTGAGAGCATCAATCTCGAAATAGTCGCTAAAGTAATCGACAGCGATCAGGTAATTCTTTCCGTCATGTGCAAAGATGTCTAGGGCGACTTTCTGCCACGGCCTTTCCGGGACCTCACGAAGCATCATAGGCTCCTTCGGCTGGCGGACATCATGTGCTCGACAGGCTAAGCAATTTGAAACGTGATCCCGTATCTGACTAGTCATTCCAGGCCAAAACATTAGCTCTCGAGCTCTCGCCACGCAAGCATTGACTCCTGAATGACTTCCGTGTATCAGCTCCAGCATGGGTCGTTGCATTGCCTTTGGAACGAGTATACGGTTGCCTTTGAAGATTAGCCCATCCTGTGTGACAAGTTCATCCCGAAAGTTAAAGAAGGGAGTCAACTCCTTTGGCAGCTTGTTTTTTACTATCGGGCCACCCTTTCAGTATCGTTTCCTTGAGCCGATTACACAGCTCGTCTGCTTCCGTGTGGCGTAGTAGTTGCTGGAAACGCTCCTCTGTGACGGCCAATAGCTGAGTGACATGGACAATGTCTTGGTCTTCTTGCGTTGCGGTCACATCGGAAAGATATGCCCTAGACAGTGTGTCTGCAATGTACATCCTCGACCCCGGTTGGTAGACGATGTCTAGGTCGTACTTCTGGAGCCGAATGAGCATTCGTTGTAAGCGGCGTGGGACGACGTGCAGTGGTTTATTGGCTATTGATACCAGAGGCTTGTGATCGGTAAATACAGTGGTCCGGCGACCAAAAGTGTAATCGTTGAAACGCTCTACGGCATAAACCAATGCTAGCATCTCCTTTTCAATCTGTGCATAACGGCGCTCGGATTCCGTTAGTGTCCGACTGCGAAAATCGATGGGCTTCCCGTTCTGCATTAGCACGGCACCGATACCGAATTGGCTGCTGTCACACTGGATCTCAAGGGGAAGTGACGGATCGTAATACGCTAGGACAGGGGCGCACGCGATCAGTTGTTTGATGTTCTGGAAAGCCTCCTCCTGTTCTGTGTTCCACTGCCAGCTCTCGCCCTTATGTGTAAGTTTTCGGATAGGAACCATTACTTCGGCTAGTCGTGGAAGGAAGCGGCTGAGGTAATTCACCATCCCGTTTAGTCTGCTCACGGCTTTAACATCTGTCGGAGGTGGCATCTCTTTTATGGCTCTAACTTTCTCCGGATCTGGCTTTAGACCTTCTGCGCTCAAAACATGTCCGTGGAACACCAGCTCTGTTTTTTCGTAACTCAATTTTCTCACGTTTCAATCTGATATTCTTGTCTTTACAGCGTTCTAGAAATCTGCTCAGGTTACGGTCGTGCTCTTCCAGAGTCGCCCCAAAAACCACTACATCGTCTGCTACACAAATAGCTCCGGGTAGATCGTCTAGGGCCTGCATTAATCGTTTCTGAAAAATTTCACTGGACACTTTCAAACCGAATGGTAAGCGCAACCACCGAAACCGTCCAAATGGCGTTCCGAACGTGGTTAAATAACTGGACTCTTCGTCAAGCTGGACGTGCCAGAAAGCGGAAGCGAGGTCGACCTTCGTGAACAATCTGGCCTTGGACAACTCGGGTAAGACGTCATCTAGCGTTGGTAGTGTAAAATACTCTCTCCTGAGTGCGGCGTTGAGCGGCTTAGGGTCGATCCACACACGCAAATCGCCTGACTTCTTGGTGATTATCGCGACTTGACTGACCCAATCGGTTGGCTCATCGACCTTGGCAATCACACCTAAACTGATCAAACGCTGCAACTCGTCTAAGAACTTCTCACGCAAAGCGATAGGTACTTTTCTCGCTGGTAGTGCTACTGGTCTAGCGGACTCGTTTAACGACAGGTGAGCTACGCCTTGGAATTTTCCCACGGTACCATCAAACACACTGGGATAGTTGTCTACGATCTCTGTACCGACTTCGCACGAGTGAACAAAACGATCATGATTAAAAGAAACAAAACCCAAACTCTGAATGGAATCAAGGCCCAGGATGGGCATTAAATCTCCTGATACCAGGAGAAAATCAAGTAAATGCTCGGAGCCATCCTTCGGGTTTATGGCCTTCATGGTAACGCAGCCCTTCGGTTGTAACTTTGATCCGTTCCACATTCTGAGCTGTGTCTGTATTTGGCGGTATTCTGCATCGGGACAGTATTTGTGAGGAAGTATGTTCACGCTTGCTCCTGAATCCAATTGGAATCGCACCGGACGCCCTTGAATAAGCAACGTTGCGAATACACAGACTGGTCTCTCACGTCCTGTCATGTTGTTAATAGCCAGTTCCTGCGGCTCTTCCTGATCGTCCTGCCCGACTGAGTCGACTTTGGTTGCCTGACAACAACGTGCAAAGTGGTTCTTCTTCGCACACTTCATACAGGTTCGGCCCCATGCTGGACAATCCTCTTTGCGCCTTGGGTGTGAGCGGCCGCAAAACTGGCATTTGGGTTGATTCGCGCTCGATGACTTCGATACAATTTCTCGGCCTCGGGATACTGCAAACAGATCCGTCGTGGACTCCATCTTGAGCTGCTGAAACTGTTGAGCCGTCCTTGATTCGCTAAAACAGATATCGATGCAATGTTCCAAAGACAGGTTTCGCTGTCGCAAAAGGCGTCTGGAAAGCTCCTCATTCTTTATGCCAATTATAATTCGATCGCGGATCAGCGAATCTCGTAAACAGGTGCAAAAATTGCAATCCCGCGCCAGAATTTTCAGCTCCGTGATGTATGCGTCGATTGATTCACCCGGCAGGCGATTTCGGCTGAAAAACAGATACCTTTGGTAAGTTTCGTTTGTGTAACCTTCGCAAAACTCGCCGAATCTGCGTATTACTTCATCCAGCTCCATCTCCTGAGTTCCATCGCTGA